TGACCTGCTCCTCAGTGAAACTGGTGAATACTGTTTTAAAAACAACCATTTAAAACCTCTGGACCTCTGGAATGGTCCTGAAGAGTAAACAGCAAATGAAGAAATATCTATTCAAGGCCAGGTGCGGTGTCTCATGCCTGTAATCCCAGCACTTTGGGAGGCCGAGGTGGGCAGACCACTTGAGGTCAGGAGTTCAAGACCAGCCTGGCCAACATGGTGAAACCCTCTCTCTACTAAAAATACAAAATTTAGCTGGGTGTGGTGGCACACACCTGTAGGCCCAGCTACTTGGGAGGCTGAGGTAGCAGAATTGCTTGAACCAGGGGAGTGAAGGTTTTAGTGAGCTGAGATTGTGTCACTACACTCTAGCCTGAGGGACAGTCTCCAAAAAAAAGAAAGAAAGAAAGAAAAAGGCCAGATGCAGTGACTCACACCTGTAATCCCCGCACTTTGGGAGGTTGAGGCGGGAGGATCACGAGGCCAGGAGTTTGAGACCAGCCTGGCCAACATGGTGAAATGCTCTCTACTAAAAATGCAAAAAAGTAGCCAGGCATGCTGGTGGGCGCCTGTAATCCCAGCTACTCAGGAGGCTTTTCAAAAAAAGAAAAGAGAAACATCTCTTCAAGAAAATCAATGACAATTCAGTAGGAAAGGTGAGAATCTGTAGGGTTTTAACCAAGATCGTTCCCCTCTCCCGCTTTACAGCTCAGTGAGGCAGAGACGCCACTCTAGACTACAGCCAGCAACACAGGGCTCCTTCTCCCCCAACCTCTCAGCCAGTGATCTTTCTTCCCTGGAAGAGCAGGACAGCGGCATTTCTCATCCTGCCCCCCACCATCTGTTGCCGAGGCTCAGTCCGGAAAGCACCTATTACTGGTGAGAGTGGTAAGCCAGGGCAGCTTCCTTCTTTGGCAAGCTGAGAATACTGAGGCTTGGATAGCCTTTCCCCCTGCTTGTAAGGTGGTGGTTCCGTGGTAGGAGAGGCAAGGTGAGAGGACCTTAAGCTACTGCTCTTCCTCCCCAAGGGCTCCACAGAGTGTCACTTACAGAGAAGCTTGCCATTGTCCCCACCCCAGAGCTAGGGCTTAAAGATTTTGCCTGGGGGAAGCAGGTTGTAAAAGAGATAGCTCCTGATCTCTTCCTGAAGGAACTGGCCTCCTTTGTAAGCATGGAGAAGCTGAAACCTAAAGGTGCGTTCAAGAACAGTGGAGGTTGCAGTGAAGGGAATTGAGAGGAAATGTGTGGCTCTAATGGAGATACAGCCTGGACTATAACCCCACTGGTTTGTATGAGAGAACAGATAACAAGGCAGCTGGGAGGAGCCCTTCTAGGATGAGAAGAAATACCAAACGCTGACCACAGAAAGTATTCCTTTCTGAGGTGTGCCAGAATTTGATTGGATTAGCTTGTAAAGCAATTTATGCCCTAGGACAATATTGAAAATAACAGAACAGTCTGCAACCAAAGAGTGGAGCTTCACAGTGTGATGTGGTCAGAGAAATATAGAAGAGAGCCCTAGTAAAGCCACTGTCATCCATGGTGACTGTGGCCATACCCAGCCCTATATCTCCTTTAGGAGCAACATGAGAAGCTTAACCCCACAGGAAAGGCAATAGACTTCACTAAAACAGTTCATCTAGTTATTAAATAAGTAAGCAAATAACAATAGCAAACCCAGTGGGGAAGCATTTCTTAGGGTGGCTCTAATATTATCTAAAATGTCCTGTTTCCAACCAAAAATTATGAGATATGCAAAGGAGCAGGAAAGTTTGACCCATACAATGTGGAAAAAAGCAGGCAATAGAAACTGCCTGTGAGAATGACTACATGTCAGCTTTATCATATCCAAAGTAGTAATTTTAAACATGTTCACAGAACTAAAGGAAACATGATTAAAAGACAAAGACTGGCTGGGTGCAGTGGCTCATGCCTGTAATCCCAGCACTTTGGGAGTCCAAGGCAGGGGGATCACAAGGTCAGAAGTTCAAGACCAACCTGGCCGACATGGTGAAACTCCGTCTCTACTAAAAATATAAAAAATTAGCTGGGCGTGGTGGCAGGTGCCTGTAATCCCAGCTACCTTGGGAGGCTGAGGCAGGAGAATCACTTGAACCCAGGAGGTGGAGATTGCAGTGAGCAGAGATCATGCACAGCACTCCAGCCTGGGCAACAAAGCGAGACTCCATCTCAAAAAAAAAAAAAAAAAAAAAAAAAGATGAAGATATAGTGACAATGTTTCATCAAACAGAATATCAGTGAACACATTCAAATTTTTTTAAAAAGGAAATTTCGGAGTTGAAAATACAATAACTGAAATAAAAAGTTCACTGGAAGGGCTCCACAGCAGTTTGAACAGATGGAAGAAATAATTAGCACACTTGAAGCTAGATCGATAGAAATTACACAAGCCAAAGAACCGAGGGAAAACCACGAAAAAAATGAACAGAGCCTCAGAGATGTGTAGGACACCATTAAATGCACCAACATATGTATGATGGGAATATCAGAAAGAGAGAGAGAAAGGAGAAGAAGAAAATATTCAAAGAAATAATGGCCAAAAACTTTCCAAATTTATTGAAAAACAATAACCTACATACCCAGGAAACTCAGTTACTTCCAAGTAGAATAATTCCAGAGATCGACAAACAGACACATCATAGTAAATCCTAAGAAGTCAGGAACAGATCAGTTGGAGTGGAAGCAGTAATTAAGAAAAGAAAAAAAAGCTTTCATAAGCTAAACTCAGAGATCCAGGCTAGTCCCTCCCCTTCTCCTTACGAGATAGGAAAACAGGAGCTATTACTCCTTTTTTGAAGGAAAAGGTATCTGATTACTTTCTTGCAGAATTTCTGAGACAAAAGAAAGAAAAAAGGAAGCTGACATATGGGGAAATAGAGGGATGTGTCCAGTTTCTCACCTCAGGACGAACTGTGGCCAGAGCCCTGACCTCTGACTTCCAGAGCGGTGCCCTAGGTGTGCACACATGCTCAATGACACTGGTGTCATTGAGGGTTTAAAATTTCTTCCGCAATGAACTCATTTGCCAGTTAATTCGAGTGACACACTGAAATAATAGGAAAATACAATTATGAAGCTCTGAATTTTAAAGAGGTACTGAATTGAAAGGCCAAAATCAGCTTTGAGGATTCTCTCTGGAAAAAGATTCCTCTCCCTGATTACTGTCCTTTCCACAAGACTCTAAATAACTCTATGACTTAATGATGGGCTCATGGAAGAAATTGGGAAAGTTTGTTCAACAGTTGTCAAGCACCTTTTCATAACTTTGCATGTGAGTTTAAGATCACAGTTGTATGTGGGAAAGAATAAAAGTCGACTTCACAATGCAGCCTAAATATTTCCATCTGCTGATGGACAATCACATGTCCACCAGCTAATGTGAGCAGCCAGCTCCCGCAGGACCAGCCGCATCAGAGCTGATTCCTTAGCATATATGCCTTATATACCAAACTCCAGTGTTCGGGGCTGACCACCATGCGTCATCATCCTCTGCCTCACCACACTGGCTTTCTATGAGTCTTCAGCACCAACAGAATCTGACTACCAACAGCCTCCACTGCCAGCCCACTCCTCCCAAACATGGACAAAGCATGTGTTTGACAGGTGTGGCTGTTTTGTTTTTCTAACTCTCTTAGGGAATTGCCCTTGTTTATTTTTCTTCAACACCAGATTGGCCCCTTTCTCTAACAGCCATGAACTTTTAGACCAGGCAGTCCCCAAACTTTTTACACGGGGGGCCAGTTCACTGTCCCTCAGACCGTTGGAGGGCCACCACATACTGTGCTCCTCTCACTGACCACCAATGAAAGAGGTGCCCCTTCCTGAAGTGCGGCGGGGGGCTGGATAAATGGCCTCAGGGGGCTGCATGCAGCCCGCGGGCCGTAGTTTGGGGACGCCTGTTTTAGACTATAAGGTCACCACCTAACACAATCTGTACCTGCTCAAGACCTGAGACCCCACATCTGTCCTTCCACCGGAAGACAGATGTTACACATAAAGAGACCCCATCCTGTCTTTCTCCTGTGGCCCAATTCCCTTCTAACATGGAAAGCCAGGCCTTTTATGACAAATATGTGATGTGATGCTGTTTGCTATAGTTTGGAGAAAGGGACTCATAGAAGCTGCCATAAAACTCAAGAAGAGGGAGGTGGGAAGAGATAGCATGGGGAGAAATGACAGATACAGGTGAGGGGACGGAAGGCAGCAAACCACACTGCCATGTGTGTACCTGTGCAACAATCTTGCATGTTCTTCACATGTACCCCAAAACCTAAAATGCAATTAAAAAAAAAAAACAAACTCAAGAAGAGGCCATTTTTCCTTACATGGGAAAACACCCAAGTGCCATCGGCTGATCAGAGGCAGCTCCTTACATGATTCTGTCTCCTTGAAGTTATATATAACCTACCACAAGACAAAAGGACAGTCAGTAGTTTTGCTCAAAATTAACTACTAATGAAGCCAAGCTGGGGGACTCAATGGAATCTGCCCCAAGCTAGGAATTCCATTTTGTTTTGTTTTGTTTTGTTTTGAGACAGCGTCTCACTCTGTCACGAAGGCTGGAGTGCACGATCTTGGCTCACTACAACCTCGGCCTCCCAGGTTCAAGCAATTCTCCTGCCTCATCTTCCCGAGCAGCTGAGATTACAGGCATGCATCACCATACTGAGCTAGTTTTTGTATCTTTAGTAGAGACAGGGTTTCACCATATCACCCAGGCTTGAGCTCTTCAAGTGATCCGCCTGCCTCAGCCTCCCAAAGTGCTGGGATTACAGGCGTGGGCCACTGCGCCCGGCCAAGAATTCTCTTTCTTTGAGTAGAAGGCACTCCTCCCTAACTGAAGGGAAGGGGACAATTGTTTATCTCTCCCACCTTCAAGCTACTTCTGCCAGGCAAGTGGATACCCCTGCCAACAGCACTTGCTTCTTGTCCTTCATGCAGGATCCAGAGTACATAGCAAAAGAGGGAGGTGTGTAACTCACCAGTGTCAGGTGTGTGCTCTGGCCAGCTCACATGGTTCAGTCCTGTTGGAGCACTCTGCGAGAGTGGACGGCTTCTTCTAGGGAGATTAAAAGCCTCTGGAGAGGTAATGATCATCTTTCTGCAGCACTGGAAGAGGAAGAAAGAGGAAGAGGGTAAATGAAGAGAATAAATGACAGGCTGTCATTGCCATCCTGCAGTCTTTCTAATTGCTAAGGACCTTTCCTTGTGAACAGAGCACATCATAGCCAAAATGTGCACAGCTCCAAGAGGTGCCTTTCACATCAAAACTCGAGAAAAGCTTCACCTGGAGTCTGTAGTGGACAACCTATCTGACCACATGGACAGGTTGTCATTTCATGGGTGAAGTGAGGACTGTGGAGGTCTTCAGACTCCCAACTGCCCCCCAGCTGGTCAGTCACACAGCCTGACATTTCCCCAAAAGCAACAGTGTTAGTTTTAGCTAAGGCATATTCTTTTTGGAATGCTTCATTAAAATGCAATTCACAAAATCCCTGATGCCTCCTAATTATGAAACATACACTGCCCTCAGATAGTAAGGACCACTGTTGGCTGTGGCTTTGGGAAGGCCACATTATCCAGAGATAAACCTGGCCCCTCTTGTTTTTTTTTTACTTATACCTTATGAGGTTATTGTATTAACTTAAAAATTGTGGTATACATTCAAATAAATGCCTGTTCCCTTTTTGTTTTTGTATTCCTCATGCTACTAAGCAAACAGTGCTTAGAAAATTCTTTTAGTGATTTCCAAAACCATCAATATACAAACAATGATAAAGATGGAGTGGCACACTTCACCCCATCCATTTGAATGCAGTGGAAAACCTTGGGCAGAGTCTGTAGATCAGCTGTCTGAGGCCTCTGGAGGGAAAGAGCAGCGGGGGGACTGGGGAAGGAAACCAGAATTCGAAGTAAAACTGATTCTGCAGTGAGTTTCTTGTCTTGTTGTTCCTGTGATGTGCCCTGGTCTGAACTCTATACCAGCTTGAGACTGGGCATGGACATAAAGGACTCCAAAAGAAGCCCGCTCAGATCTGAAGAGAGGGAAAAGAGTCCTTAAGGGTATGAGAGAATGAAAGACATGTATTTGAGTGATGATTTCTCCCACTCTGTTCCCCTAGGTAGTCTCATTATAGTAACAGCAGTGGTGGTCATGCAGACCTAAAAATCTGAGAGACAGAAATCCTCTCTTACCAGAGGAACTGTGGTCCCAAGGGCATGGGAGAGAATCCCTGTTTCTTTTTTTCTATCTCTGTCTTCCTGCCTCTTGGTTTAATAGGCAGAAACAGTTGCAGGAAGTGTATGGCAGGATGGGAAAATGAAAACCCTAGCTTTCATTATGAAAACTGGGAATACAAAGTAATTTACAGATTCAATGCCATCCCCATCAAGGTACCAACAACCTTCTTCACAGAACTGGAAAAAAACACCTTAAACTTCATATGGAACCAAAAGAGAGCCCGCATAGCCAAGTCAATTCTAAGCAAAAAGAACAAAGCAGGAGGCATCACGCTACCAGACTTCAAACGATACTACAAGGCTACAGTAATCAAAACAGCATGGTACTGGTACCAAAACAGAGATATAGACCAATGGAACAGAACAGAGGCCTTGGAGGCAACACAGCATATCTATAACCATCCGATCTTTGACAAACCTGGCAAAAACAAGCAGTGGGGAAAGGATTCCCTGTTTAATAAATGGTGTTGGGAAAACTGGTTAGCCATGTGCAGAAAGCAGAAACTGGACCGCTTCCTGACACCTTACAATAAAATTAACTCCAGATGGATTAAAGACTTAGACATAAGACCTAACACCATAAAAACCCTAGAATAAAATCTAGGCAAAACCATTCAGGACATAGGCATAGGCAAGGACTTCAGGACTAAAACACCAAAAGCATTGGCAACAAAAGCCAAAATAGACAAATGGGACCTCATCAAGCTCCACAGCTTCTGCACTGGCAAAAGAAACAGTTGTTAGAGTGAATCGGCAACCAACAGAATGGGAAAAAATTTTTGCAGTTTACCCATCTGACAAAGGGCTGATATTTACAAAGAACTAAAACAGATTTACAAGAAAAAAACAAACAAGCCCATTCAAAAGTGGGCAAAGGATATGAACAGACACTTTACAAAAGAAGACATACATGAGGCCAGCAAACATATGAAAAAATGCTCATTATCACTGGTCATTAGAGAAAAGCAAATCAAAACTACATTGAGATACCATCTCACACCAGTTAGAATGGCGATCATTAAAAAATCTGGAGACAACAGATGCTGGAGAGGATGTGGAGAAATAGGAACACTCTTACACTGTTGGTGGGAGTTTAAATTAGTTCAACCATTGTGGAAGACAGTGTGGCGAATCCTCAAGGACCTAGAAATAGAAACTCCATTTGACCCAGCAATCCCATTACTGGGTATATATCCAAAGGATTACAAGTCGTTCTACTATAAGGACGCATGCACACGAATGTTCATTGCAGCACAGTTTACAATAGCAAAGACCTGGAACCAACCCAAATGCCCATCAATGATAGACTGGACAGGGAAAATGTGGCACATATACACCATGGAATATTACGCAGCCATCAAAAACGATGAGTTTGTGTCATTTGTAGGGACATGGATGAACCTGGAAGCCATCATTCTCAGCAAACTGACACAGGAGCAGAAAATCAAACACCGCATGTCCTCACTCATAGGTGGGTGTTGAACAATGAGAACACATGGACACAGGAAGGGGAGCACTACACACTGGGGTCTGTTGGAGGGAAATAGGGGAAGAACAGCGGAGGATGGGGAGTTGGGGGGGGATGGCATGGGGAGAAATGCCAGATATGGGTGAGGGGGAGGAAGGCAGCAAATCACACTGCCATGTGTGTACCTATGCAACAATCTTGCATATTCTTCACATGTACCCCAAAACCTAAAATGCAATAAAAAAATAAAAATAAACAAACAATAAAATAATTAAGGAAAAAACAACATATAACAATATACTATCTACAAGAACCCTTTGAAAATAATGATAAAGGTAAGTAGAAAGGAAAAGGGTGGAAAAACTATGCCACAGAAATACTAATCGAAAAGAAAACGTAAATGGCTATATAAATATCAAACAAAACCAATTTCAGAGCAAGGAAAATTACCAGGGACATAGACGAACATGACATCGTAAGAGTGAATTCACCAAGAAGACATATGATCCTAGATATCCATGCATCTAACCATAGACGTTCAAAATATATGAAGCAAAAATTTAATTTAATTTAAAGGAGAAATGGAAAATTCACAACGATCCATTTCTGATTGGAAACGTCAACACTTTTGTCACAGTAATCAATACAACAAATAGACAAAAACAAGGTAATAAACAAAAGCAAGGTAATAGACAAAGTAAGCAACACTATCAACCAACTGGAACTAATTGACATTTGTAGCATATTCATCCAATAACAGCAGAATACACATTATTTTCAAGTGCACATGGAACATTCACCGGGAGAGGCTATATCCTTAGTGATAATCATAATAATGAAATAACAATAATGAAAACATTTGAAAGTATGAAATCATACAAAGTACGTTTCTCTGATCACAATGGTATTAAACTATAAATCAGTAATAGAAAGATAATTCTATTACATTTCTTGAAAAGGAAATCCTAATCTATTTAGAAATTAACACACTTCAAAAATAAAAAGTCCACCACAGTCCAGTGACTGCTTTGAGAACAATGATGTAGTGCTCTGATTCACTCACCATATATGCTGTTATTCCTGCTGTTCTAACTTGAATGTTATACCCTATTACTTGCTTCTTTTCATACTCTTTTGAGAACTGTACCTGCAGTTTATCTTTTTATGTTTACACAAAAATATGGTTTGTGTATATTTGAGTAGTTGAAACTAGTAGAAACTACCAAACAATATTTGACTCAACTAGTCAAGTATACTCAACTAGTATATAATCTCTATTTTCTATAAAATTATCAGAAATTATCTCTAGGCCTCCAAATCTTTTGCAATCAAATAATCTTAGGGTTGGAATTCTCTTAACATCTACTTTAATCCTGGTTAAAGGGAAACTGGACCCACCACATGTATTCATGCAGGCCACATTACATTTGATTGTTTAAAAAATAGCCATTTAAGCTTGTGACTACAGCTGACTCTCAAACAACATGGGTTTGAACTGCATGGGTCTATTTATACATGAATTTTCTTCCACCTCTGCCACTTCTGAGACAAGACCCACTGTTCCTCTCCTTCCTCCTCCTTAGCCTATGGAATGTGAAGATGATGAGGATGAAGACCTTTATCCACTTCCACTGAATAATCAGTAAATATATTTTCTCTTCCCTTTCATTTTCTTAACATTTTCTTTTTCTCTAGCTTACTTTATTCTAACAATACTATATATACTACTTATAATATCTTACAACACACAAAGTAAGTGTTAGACTGTATGTTATCAGCAAGGCTTCTGGTTAACAATAGGCTATTAATAGTTAAGTTTTTCAGGAGACAAAAAATTATACATGGAGCTGAGCATGGTGGCTCATGCCTATAATCCTGTAATCCCAGTACTCTGGGACTCCGAGGTGGGCAGATCACTTGAGCTCAGGAGTTTGAGACCAGCCTGGTGAACACAGTGAAAACCTGTCTCTATTAAAAATACAAAAATTAGCCAGGCATGGTGGCATACAATCCCAGCTACTAGGGAGGCTGAGGCAGGAGAATTGCTTGAACCCAGGAGGTGGAGATTGCAGTGAGCCGAGATCATACCACTGCATTCCAGCCTGGGCAACAGAGCAAGACTCTGTCTCAATATGCATATATTGGATATATACATGGATATATATACTGGATACATACATGAATTTTCAGCTGTGTGGGTGCTTGGTGCCCCTAACCCCTTGATGGTAAAGGGCCAACTGAATATCCCTTTGACAGAATGTTTTCTCAAGTTAACTCTCCTATGGGTTACTTAAACATTCTCTAAGTCTTCCATTCATGTTCTACACCAAATTTATCATATCATTTTCCTGTTAAAAACCCTCAAAGGCTGCCTGCTGCTTACAGAATAAAGTCAAGATCT